TCAGCCTCTTTAGCCAATTGTTTTATATATATGATTAAATTGGCTATTGCAATTTATCGGATTCCTAATTCTAATCCGTTTAAATCTTATGCTATTCAAATTTTTAATCAACGATATATTGAATTTCAACATTCATCTTACCTTTTATGTTATTATCTTCATCCATTTTATCGTGGTAAGTATTATAATTTATAATTTATATTTATTTAATTAAATATTTTAATTTTTTCTTTTTTTATTTAGATTTAAGGCTTAAAAATGAAGCATTTCGAGATGTTGCAATAACAGCTTCTACTCTTTGGCAAGGTTTAGGACATTCTGAACAAGAATGTAAAAAGTTAATTTCAGAATTTCGGTATTATGATGCTAAAAAAAAACCTTTTGATTTACCTTATGTTCAAAGCTTAGATACTCCTATGTTATGGTGGGAATCTATTAAAAGTCAACCACGTCATTTACCTAAATTAGCATTTCAGCTTTTTAGTATTTCTCCATCACAAGCTAGTTGTGAAAGAAATTTTTCTACTTTGAAATGGTTTATTGGTGATAGGCGTACACGTCTTAATGTTACAAGACTTGAAGGAATGGTAAAAATAAGGTCTTATTATATGACAAATATACGAAATGAACTTGTTTATTATGGTAAAGAGTTAAAGGAATCAGAATTACGTGAAGCAGTAAATATTTCAGCAATAGGTAATATTATATCATTGAATGAAGAAGATAATAATAATAATAATTGTAGATTAACATTTAATGAAGATTTATTAGCAAATACTAATTTAGTTTTAGAAGATTTTGTGAATTTACGAGATCCAATTTTTCAGGATGGAGAAAATGGATTACGTGAAGAATTAAATATACCTAATATTGATGAAGAAAATATTAATATGGATTTTGATTCTGTTAATTTAGTTGATGATATTTTGAATGTTGAAATGGATTGATTTTTTTTTTGATATAAATAAATAATAATTTGTATAATTTGTTTGCTTGCAATTAATAAATTTTAAATTCTAAATTTTTAAATTATTATATCATGTTGTCACGTCAAGTCACGTCAAAAATCACGTCATATTACATAGTTACGTTACATCAATAGTTATATCAAAAGTCTAGTCAATAATAATGATTAAAAGTTACGTCTTATTATATTAATAAAGTGGCGTCATAAAAGTTACGTCACTATAATAAAGTCTGCACCCCTAATTGTATTTGAAGTTTAAATAGCTTACTAACTTCAAACTTTTTTTTTCTCATGGATGATTTAATTAGAAATGGAAGTCCGTTAACTGATAATGAATGAAAAATGGTTTTTTAACGTCTATTAATATTTTTTAAAGATTCAACAATGCCAAAAGCAACATCATGACTTATCATTACATAAGGAAGTTGCTGCGGTTCTTGGTATTGGGAAGGCTACAATTGCACGAGTAGTTGTTGAACAAAATAAAAAAAACAATGGAGAATTTTAAACACAAAAAATTCTAGGTCAACCAAAAAATACATTTGATCATAATATTCCCAAAATTTTACGAAGTTTTATTATGTCCGCAAATACCTCTAATATTTTATTTTTAACATAAATATTACGACAAAAGCTTAAAGAAAATGGCTATAAATTATCAAAATGGCAGTTACTTTGTTTACTTCATAAATTGGAATATTATTATAGCCGTAGTGAGCGCAAAATATATTGCATGAATCATTAGCAAATGTTAATTTTCATAATCATTATTTACGACATTGGTTTGAAAACTTACAAGAAAATAACAAAGTTTTGACTAGGCCAGAAGTTTTTTTGGATGAATCATATTGTCATTTCACTATACTACAAATTGTACTTAGGTGCTAAGTCATAGGGTAGTATATTCACCAGGATGTGGTCCCTTAATTGTTATTTTTGAAGCGATAATCATAATGCATAATGGTAATACTAATAAGCTTTTTGGGAAAGTTGTTTCTAATTTACTTCTTATATGGGATCTATCAATAAAACTACCTTCATCAAAAGGGAGAAAACGAGCAAATGCTGATGCTTGGAATAATATTCCTGAAGTTATTCAAAATTCCAATATTGCAGCAGATTATATTGACTATTATGAGAATTTTACAGCTGAAATATTCAAAGATCTTTTTGATAAACTCTGTGCTAATATTAAGGAACGCTATAGACTAGTAAATATTCATATAGATAGTGCTCAGTATCACAAACATCAAGTTAAATAAGTGCTAACATTAAACTCGAGAAAGGATGCATTAATTGCTTGGTTAACTTCAACTGGTATTGATATTCTGAAAAATTCTACCAAAGCAGAATTATATGAGTTAGTAAAATAAAATAAAGCAAATATACCTTTTAAGTGTGTTAAGATAGCTAGAGAACATGGTCACAATTTGTTTTACACTCTGCCTTATCATTATAAACTCCAACCAATCGAAGGAGTTTGGTCAACTGTTAAAAGTGAGGTTGCCAAATCCAGTTCTTACCCAAATATTTTAGCTATTAGAGACAAATTGTTGCATGTCTTTAATGAAAAGGTTATCACTAAAGTTATTATTGGATTTTGGAAAAGAGTACTTGACAAAGCCATAGAATATAAAAAATCAAGCGATGATATGTTATTGACTGAAAGTGATTATAAAGATTCTGAAATTGAAGAAATTGATGATTAATAAAATTTTTTATAGAAATTTTATATTTTAATAAAACTTATATTAAAAATATTTCTCAAAACTTATATAATAAATAAAAATGTTTAAATGTTTATATTAAATTTAAAAATTTATTTTTTACTATAAATATATTGGTGTATCTACATTTTTGCACTGGACCATATTATTTATGATATTCTAAAATTAATTTTAAAAGGGATTCGTTATTATCTAACAAAGTAAAAAATTTACACCTAAGCTCGTCTTAGGTGTAAATTTTTTTTTATGTGTACAAGAAAGTTAAAAAGCTATAGAATATATTTTAGTATATCATTATTTTTTCAATACACAAAAAACCATTCTGAAGTCATTTGCTTTACATAAATCTAAGGTCAAAAAGTCTAACCTCTGGTGTAAAAAATTTGGGCTAGGTATAAATTTTTCGAATTAAGTGTAAATTTTTGTATGTGTACAAGAAAGTTAAAAAGCTATAGAATATATTCAAGTATATTAATATTTTTTGATATACAAGAAACCATTCTGAAGCCATTTGCATTATGCAAACATAAAGTCAAAAAAATCTAACCTCAAGTATAAAAGAGGATAGGTGAAAATTTTTTAAAATAGATGTTAATATATCAAACTTCTAGATAAGTACCTATGCGAAACGTCTGATTCAAAGAATCCCTTTAGTCACAGCAAGCCCTATCCTGAAGCTTATTAATATATTAAGTTACATAATACCTATTAGCATGCTTTCTACAAAGCCCAGATTCAGAGCTAATCAGCTTACTACAAATTCTACAAGGAAGACGCTTCCTAGCTTTTCAATGTTCAAAGCATCCTTCAGGCCAATGATAGGTCTTCTCACAGATTTCTCCAGTTTTGAGCAAATAGTTGCAAAAATATTCGCCTATTATGGTAATAAGAAATAAATATTTTAATTTAAACAAAAGATTTTGTAGTATTAATATAAGCATCAGAATAGCAACACTTTTATTATGAGTATACAAATTCAATTACCTGAAAGCAAACCACCTCCCAAGAAGTCAAAGAGGCACTAATAAATATAATCAAGGCAGGGTTATACTATAGAAGGCCGAAGGAAGGCAAATTCATGCAAAGTTATAAATAAAGAATTAATAAATTATGCTAGGCAGAAGATCCTGAAGAATATATTTAAAAATCAGCTTAAACAATATTTCCCAATGAAGATAAATATAATAAAATTATGAGTGAATACAAAGATTGATATGGTAAAAATCCAGAAATTCTTAATTCTATTATGAAGCTATATAAGCTTTACTATAGATTAGCTAAGGATAATTTCAATATCAAAGCACAAGCTGACGAAGAAGTAGAAGACTACCTGTTATCAATTTATTTCGCAAGTATCCACTAAGGTGGTAACTCAGTATCAGGAATAACCATCAATTCCTCTCTTATAAAAGATCTTTTCAGACTATTACCTTTAACATCTATTAGCCAGTATAAGACTGGCTGATTTTTTTGTATTAAAGATTCGCAAATATAATAAACCTGAGGAGACCAATTCATATCAGTATTACGTCTTCTAGCAGGGCCATATTCTAACTCTCCTGGTTTAAGAAAATATCTCACTAAGTCATAATAGGATAAATAAGGTTCGTTATATCTGATAGGTCTTCTGTGTTTTATAGCTGGCTTAGCAATTATTTTCTCCCTATTAAGTGCTCTTTCTACTGCTTCATTAGGAGACATACCTATTAATCAAGTAGGAGTATTATTAAATATATCATCATTAATATAAAAACTTCTAACCTAATCTATAGAATGATTTGATAAAGGTAACAGAAAATCCATAGCATCTTGTTGAATACCAGAATGCTTTTCAAATTTTTTATGATCATGTTCAGCTATAGTATTACCTTTCTTGCTTTTGGTATATTGTATTTTTACATCATGTTTAAGCAATAAATTCTTACAATCCCTATATATTCTGTTCCCTTATCAGAATTAAAACAATTTGACCAAGAGAGAAACTCCTTAGGATCATCATAAATTTTTTGAATATTCTTAGCTATTTGTGCAGAAGATTTATCAGTCAACGCAAAACTATGATAATACCTAGTTGCAACATCTTTAATAACACTCCTATACTTGTAAATCTGATTACCTACTTTATCATGAGGCATAGGGTAGTATCAGATTGGTGTACTTTATTTAAAAATTGTATATTATTAAAGAAAGCATACTGAATAAATCTAGAACGAGGTTTATGTATCTGATGCATAGCCTATCTATCAAGCCAGTCACATACCTCATCAAGTAAAAAATCATATCTAACCTTTTTAGAGACTTCATGTAATATTTTCGCAGTCTTCTGATAGCCCGAAGGCTGATAATAAATCTTCTGCAAAGCAATAGAAATATTAAGTTTTCAAGCTTCACCTGATTCTATCTAAATAATAAGAATTAACATGGATGACTCCGCTTACATAGAAATCCTAAATACTAATAAAGAATTGCGCAAAAAATTGGAGGATGAAATAACCAAAAGCAAACTTAAGAATAAAAAGCCAAAATCACTTTCTAGGGAGCTAGAAAACTGTTATAAGATATTATCTCATCAGGATTTAACAATATTAGCTCACGAAGATAAGATAGCATCTCTTAAGTCTGAGATAAAATCTCTTAAACAGCATCTTCACAAAGCATTATAGGATTTAAGGTATAAAGATAATGCAAGTACTGCTCAAGATATCTATATTTTAAGGCTAGAAGATATAGTTGAACAGCTTAAAAAGCGAATAAGGGAGATTACAGATAAAAAATTATCCTAAATAAATAGTTCACCAATGGTATTACCAGAAATTTTAAGAGATATTGCTATAGCTATAGAATGTGTTAAATTATATGTTGATGGAGATAGATCATTTGATTCCAAAAATACCTTGAATGGTATACGAATAATATTAACAACTATTCGTACCCATATGCAAAGGATATCAAATGAGACTTTACATTATCAAGATTTGCTTAATATGGCTAATAGACAAGTCAATAACCTTATAAATAATATGGTAAATGTTAGAAATAAATGTCTTCTAAGAGCTCAATTATTAACTTTAGCATATAATAATAAAGCAAATGAGCGCTGGGTATAGTAGCTTAGAACTCAGAGAGCAGAAAGGCGTAACCATATATTATTACAAGAAAAGGTAGGCTTTTGGTTAATAAATCGAAGACGTAAAGCTGAGGCTGACTTGGCAGAATTTAATTGGGCTTGGATATTTAATCGGTATCAAAAATGGAAGGCTAGGAAAATAAATTTGAGGCAAATTATTTTAAATTTACAAATTAATAACCCTCTAGGAAATATGGCAGAAGCTAGAAAACAACCGTTATACAATATAATAGCAACTATTTTGCAAAACATGATCAATATACTGGGCAGGAACCCCTAACGATTACTTAGATAAAATCTGAAATTCTATTTTGCATTTAGAGCCAAATATGGTAGCACTTGAAAATGTTAATGCAGGGGACTTTGATGATGTGATTAAATTTGTTCTTTTAAAATCCAAGTTGGGAGAAAAATATATACCAGTTCCAGCAAATGATCCCTATACTAATCCTGTAGCTCCTATTAATTCTCCAGCAACATTAAAAGCATGAATGAATGTAAAATATCAGTATGAAACAGTAGGTAGCCAACAAGTAGCCATGCAGAGATTAACTCAAAAAAGATTTTTACTTACAGATAATTCAAATACATATGAAACCAGAATTTGACATTTATTATTAAGCATAGCAGATAATGATGCGTAAGTTTTAGGAATTCTTAAAACTCACCTGTCTGGTAATCTCTTTACATGGATGAGAATTTTCAATCCAGGTAGTATATAGAGTTCTGAATGAGTCGAGTTAACTCATGAGTCAGATAAGCCGAATCGAGTTCAAATCAAGTCGAGTTGGTGTTTTTTTGACTCGATGATTTGCGAGTCAAGCCAAATTCAAATCGAGTTAAATATTTAACTTGACTCAATTTAAACTCGACTTGATTCGAGTTGACTCGAGTTGACTCGAGATGAACAATAAAAAAATCGTTCAAGAAGAACGATAAAGAATCGTTCGCCTTGAACGATAAAAAAATCGTTCAAAAAGAACGATAAGGAATCGTTCGACTTGAACGATAAAGAATCGTTCAAAAAGAAC